AGTAACTCATGAGGTACAGTCGTGTGTATTGCCCATCTGATGGGTGAGGGGATAGACCTGGGTGATGGGTGAGGGGTCCATGTCACACAGCTGGTAAGAGGCAGCGCTGGGATTGGAACACAAGTCTACGCTCCTAACCAATGGGCTGCCGCCGCTCAGTCAGACCTCTGTGAATCAGATTGTGCATCCCTTGCCAATTAGCCATGGGATGGATTGTTTTGTGAAAATAGAAATTAATCCTTGACTTACTTGTTTTCATAACTTTGATTTTTCTGCTCGATTTGATAGGAAGTGTATTTATTGTAAAATGGAATGACTTCTATGGCCTGTGAATTATAATAAAAAACAGAGCTGATTCTCCAAACCTTAACTGGTTGTTCTAACCACTAGTTAACTTTGGTGTAATCTGTGTCACTAGATGGGTTCTTCTGTGAAGTAGGTTTTCATGCTTGGAAAATACTGCATGGCAGTTTTTTTTTAACTTATTCCATCAAAAAATCAAAAAGGAAAAACGAGTTATCTTGTAGGATAAACCTCGTAATGAACAAATGACCAAATACTGCGATCAAATGACTAAATGGTAGAAAATACATTTCTAGGAGTGTTGGGTGTGGTGTGAATGTATTTGTCATCTTTTTTAGGTGTCATTTATTCCTCTGTTATTTTTAGCGTTAGACCTCATCTTCTCCCCCTTCCCCCTTAGACCATAACCCTTCCGAGCTCATTAAATGAAGAGAGCTCTGTTAGCAGCAACAGAGAAACTTTTACGTTGTACTTGTGTCATTGCTTAACAATGGGAGTCCTGCTCCTTAGTTTTGTTGTTAAGTTTCCCTTTTACAATGAAAGGTCATGAAAACCTCCATAGTGTGAGTTTTCTTCATCCATGTTATTTTTATGTTTTGTGCATGGACGTCGGAAGAAGTGAAAGTTCACTCACTGTACACAGAAGTTGAGTTTTTATTCTCATGTCCTGGTGTTTATCCTAAAAAAAATAAATGTCTAGAAGCAGTTACCGGTATTTAGGGAATTTATACAAGGGGGGAGGGGGAACAATCTTGGTTTAAGGCAATTGATTTTGGGCATTTTAGTTTTTGATCATGTTAGAAAACAAAAAGTCTCCTGAACGCCCCTGATAAATGTGATGCCAGATAGCATTACTATTTTAGGGGTGATTGAAATTTACTGACAGCATGTATAAATAGCTCCAAAACTGGCTTCTGCTTCTCCCTTTGCATTTAAAAAATGTATTTTTATCTCCTCCTCTACCTCATCTTTTGAGGGATAATTATAAAACATATTAAGCGTTACTTTAAATTTGGGCTGGAGTTGCACATTAAGGCCGGTAAGAAATTGAAATGCCAAACGCCATCATGAATAGGGCACATCGGTGAGAGTGTAGATGCTCTTACACCCTCCACATAGAACACCTGCGGGGAGAAATAAAGCAGACGCTTGGATGAAAATCTAAATGAAAGCTGCTGAAGTACTTTTTGAGTTGTGCCCAGAGATCTGCTCTATGAGTGAGAGGACCTCGGATCAAGTACTCATAAGTACTTGGTAGTGGCTTGTCCCCCACACATTGTTCCCATCAGGCTCAGCTTTGGGCCTTTGCTCATCTGGAAGGACTAGGTTATTATGTGACCCTGTCACCTCACTTCCCCTCTGGGCCTCGGGCTTCTCTGCTGAGAAAAGAAGGTGGGGAGCCCCAGTTGCCATGCAAGTCCATTGCCTACATGGACAGACTTTCTGAATATTACAAAGTCTGTTTTGAGCCTGTGGGTTTGGCCTTTCTGCTGCTGTCTTCCCTCCAAGCTACCCAAGCCTCTGAACCCACGTCCTCACTGTGCTTTTACCTGCATATTCTCCCAAGTCCTTCTCTACAACTTTGGTGAGTCTGTGGAAAGAAAAATCAAGTATTTCATTGGTTCCTAACCAACCACAAGTCCCCATTTAGCCTCCATGACTGATTCTTTCTATAAAGAACCATGACCTTACAAACAAGGTAATTATTGTCTTTAAATATGGAATGGAGGTGTGACTAATGTAGGCTTCCTTTGCCACAGAGATCTGTGAGGATGAAGGCTGTAGTAGTTAGGATTCTCCAGAGAAACAGAACCAATAGCATGCATAAACAAAATATATAAAGAGATTTATTGTAAGCAACTGGCTCATGTGATTACGGAGGCGGGCAGGTTCCAAGGTCTGCAGAGTTTGTCAGCAGGCTGGAGACCCGGGAGCCGATGGTGTGGATCTAATTGGAAGACCGGTTGGCTCAAGACGCAGGAGGAGCCAAGGTTTCAGTCCAAGTCCAAAGGCAGGAAAAAAGCCAACGTCCCAGTGTGAAAGCCATCAGGCATGAGGAATTCTCCCTTACTTAGGGGGAGGGTCAGCCTTTTTGTTCTATTCAGGCCTTCAATGATTAGATGAGGCCCACCCACATTAGGAAGGACAATCTGCTTTCCTCCATCTACTCATTTAGATGCTAATCGCATCCAAAGAGCTCTTACAGAAGCACCTAGAATAATGTTTGACCACATATCTGGGCACCCCATGTCCCAGTCAAGTTGACTCATACAATTAGCCACCACAAAGGCTCAGTCCAGTTAAGGATAGGCAGCATTGTTGAAACAGAGAAGTCATCAATTCCCCATCTCATTTGCATTTTTTACTAATTCAATTTTAAAATTATCTCTACAGTGTATAGTATTGATTGAGATACTAGTTTCTTGAAATGTGATCATATGGGTTCTCAAACGGCTGATCTTTGAAAGATCTACTTTGAGCTGTTGGGGGTCTCCCAGCCCTGTCTTGTCTTCAACAAACCTAAGCATCTGAATCCTTGTTCTTCCCAGGAATTCACCTGCCTTTTGTCCCAAGTTCTGGTGGAAAGGTCTAGGTGTGCTGAAGGTTATCAAAGTGTTTCTGACAAAATTTTATTATTCCCTGTTTAGGGTGGAACTGTCTTTACCTTCCAGTGGTGCTTTGATGTGTAGTCACATGAGTACATTAAATGATGCCTTTAAAAACACTCTGCAAACTGCAGAATTCAGTGAAAATATAAGAGGTTGTCATCTTCCCTGATCTATAGTGATTGGCAAAGACCTATAATTTATTTTATTGGGTATTTTTTGTCTTTTCAATCCACTATGAATGGCATGGGCTTCTTTATCTTCCGGTATCCAACAGCTCGTTGTTTTTTTTTTTCTCTCCTGCCTCCACCTCCAACAGAACCCCTAGAAATGACCTCATCAACTGTTTCACATGGAGGTATAAATGAGAGCTAAGCTTTATACACTACCCAAGCTAGAAATAGCTACATATTAATTAGAAGACCAAAGAATGCACTTATACTTGTGGAAATAAGCTAGAGAACATATTTGTGAGACAGACTGGGAGTATCGTTTGCACTGTGCCTTATAGTTTCTGGCAGGTGTCAGTTCATGGTGACATCATGCCCATCATTCCTTCTGGAATCTAGAATTCTCTCATACGGAAGACCAAGCAGAGGTTTACAGTTTTAGCTGGAAGTGTCTTGTTAGTCTAGAACAGTGGTCCTTACTAAGGCTACACACTGGAATTGCTGGAGGTGCTTTTGAGATAGAAACTTTCCTAGGACTCACACGCGATGGGTAATTTCTTCAGGCATAGCACCTGGGCGTCTTCACTTCTGAAAGCCAGCAAATCCTTTGGTGTCAATCAAGGCTGACCAGGAGGCTATCACATCGCTAATAAGGGCGGCCAGAATGTTAAATGAGGTTAAAATCACTATGGAGATTGAGATTTTCAGTGCACGCTGATAATTTGTTGTTTTGCTGACAAACAATGATGAATCAACAAATTATTTGTTTAGATCTTGCAGCCATTTTATGTCTTTCATGGAGAAAATTTGTACAGTGACCTTCCTAAAAATAGAGACAGAGAACTTGAAGGGGGTCTGGGGAATACCCAGTATTGGTACTGCTTTTTTCTGAGGAGCGGCTGAGGGGAACATAGTGTTAAATGTTGGGGATCTTTCAAAATATCATTTACCCAGGATTAAGGGTTGACCTGGAAAGTTTACTGTGGAAGGTTAGGATCTGGCTGGGTGCTAAACATGGCAAAACCAGAGGTAGTTGTTGTATATGGGAAGCAACTCTTGTACTGAATCTTGATTACAAGCCTTCACTCCAGACCTCTTGAATTTTGAGATTGCTCTCAGCACAATGTGAAGCCCAGCTTTCTGTTCTGCTATGGAATCCCTGTGTTGGCAAGTTACTAGGGTCTTCTTCACCTCTTTATCTTTCAGTGAAGGTAATACTTATACATAACGTATTTTGATATCCTCGGAAGGAGGGAGAGTGACCCCAGAGTTTGACTGTATTTCTTTACCAACTCATGACTTCAGTTTTGAAGTACATAGAAATTTCTGTTGAGTAAATAACTACATGTGTTTTCATTTTATTCAGGTGTCTAGATGGTGCTTATTCTCTAAGATGCTTACAGTAGGAGTAAAGGTTCTGTTTGTTCTTATCCCTCAAGTCCATTTGCTTTTCACTATTTTCAGTTACTTGCTCAGAATACAGAAATGTAAAGTCACTGCCTTCATTTATCCAGCACCTATTTGTGTGCAATTCAGTGAATCTGATTTAAGATCAGAGACTGTAAATGGAAATAGAAAGGAAACAAAGTGAAATAACTGACTTACAGGTGTGCATCCTGCCTTAAGTCAGCGCGATTGAGAGTGCTGGCCTCCCCCAAAGGTCCTGACATTTTGGCAAGGTGTTGTATGGGCCATCGGCTTTGTTTTGCTTTTGGCCATCCTGATGAAGTACAGTGCTGTCTGACCCCCAGTGTTTTGGCGGGAGGGCTTGAGCCGGGGTGAGCAGGGCTGCTAATGTCTACCATGCCACACCAGCCGAAATGGATTTTTCCTTGAAGTTTGTGGAAGGGATCACATGTTCAATTTAACCCATGAAGAGTTGTCATCTTTATTTCAGTTGTCCCTGTTCTTGCTTAACCAGATCCAGCAGTGGGAGCAGAACCTGGAGAAATTTCACATGGATCTATTCAGGATGCGCTGCTATCTGGCCAGCCTGCAAGGCGGCGAGTTGCCGAACCCCAAGAGCCTGCTCGCTGCCACCAGTCGCCCCTCCAAGCTGGCCCTGGGCAGGCTGGGCGTCTTGTCAGTTTCCTCTTTTCATGCTCTGGTAAGTTCCCGAAGAGGGCTGTCTCAGCAGCTTCCAGGGAGGACCGCAGATGCTCACCTTTCTGCAGCCATTGCCCTTAGCGCTGCTGTCACTTAACCCAATAACCGACCAGCGCCGCCCAGCGGCCGGGAGCTGGGCAGGGAGGGTTGGAGACGCCTTGCTATAAAGAGTCCCAGCTTCTCTTAGGAACCCAGCTCCTAATAGACAGTTACTAAATATTCACATCTGCCATCAGCCTTTTTGTCTGGTCGACCTCATACAGTCAGGAAGGTGGGATCCCTGAGCGGCAGCCACAATGGTGTGAAGAAGGAAAGGGCTGGTCCAAGGCTTTGTGTCTGCACTGCGGAGAGCCTCCCTGGGGTTTCTGAAATTGCTCCTGTGCAGGTGGCTTGTGTGGGTAGGACTAGCTCAGCCTGGGGGCCCGAGGGTTGTTTTGCTGGCCCTGCTCTCGTCCATGGAGATGTCGGAATGTTGTAACTAGCCCCGTGTTATCCAGATAAGAGAAATCTCTACGGTGGATCCCTTTCTGGTTATGTCAGACACGCAGTAGCTTTCGGTGCTGATGAGAACGCATTCATAGCAAGCAGGGCTTACTTCTGTTAGGGCAGTGGTTCCCTCTGTCACCCAAATACTGCGCTTCGAGACTTTCTCAAACTGGGTTTTAAATTAGGTGTGCTCTCGAGATGACTCTGCCCTCCGGAAGAGAACACTCTCGCTGACCCAGCGAGGGAGGAACAAGAAAGGCATATTTTCCTCGTTGAAAGGGCTGGACACGCTGGCGAGAAAAGGGAAGGAGAAAAGACCTTCTATAAGTCAGGTGAGTTCCTTAGCATGCGAGCGACGCAGACCTAGTGGGAAACCCTGGGTCTTCTGCCTGCTGCACATTGTAAATGTTCATGGTCCATAAGAATGAGATAAAGTTTGGTTCAAAGGAATGTAGTGTTCACATGGACTTTTTTCGCAAATGAAAATACACAAGTTGCTCAATCTCCTTTTGACACCCCCCCTCCCAAGAGGTGTTGACATCTTGCTCACGTCTGCAGTGCTTAGGTACACAAAAATAAGAATAATACACAGAAGAGAACCCACCCTTTTCATTGCCTTTCGTACTGATATTTATTTTTTCCCATAGATTTTGTATTCAAATAAACGTGTAAAATGAATAATCATCAGAGTAACTGCAGCTAAATTCTATTGATAGCGCCAGATGCTTTGCTCACTTGTCTTTTTGACACGAAGTAGGCAGTTTGCCATCCCATTTTACAGACGAGGAGCCTGAGACCTGAAGCGGTGAAGTCACTTCCTTACCCCTGTTCATGTAGCACCTGAGGGGCAGGGCTGGGACTTGGTGTCCCTACATCGAAAGCCTGGAGACGCTGGCCTATTGCTGCTGCTCAGTTTCCTTGAGGAAGGGTGGCTGTTTTAACATTTTATCCAGTAAAAATAGCCTGAGCATGTACTGTTGAAATGTGGCCCACGTACAGTGAATTGTTCTCAGAACATTTTGCATACTCATGTCTGAAGTATTTCCTAGCACTGTGAATACTGTATATGGTCGTGACCTTTATGTTGCTGATTGACGTTTTAAGACTATTATTTTTTGAGAGACTGTTGAAAAGGTAAGTTATCACATGATGATCTGATCATTTAAGTGAATAGGGAAAATGTTTGTGATTAAGTCTGAAGAAGTGATTGTTTTTATTTGTAACAGGTGGCTATTATTCTGAATATGCTTTCAATATCATCTGGGAGGGTCACACTTTATTTTCTAATTTTTGTATAGATATTTAGTTGATTGTGTAGAACAGTTTTGTGAATTAGTGAATAACAGGGATAATATCAACTTCTTTGACCTGCTTATAACTTTGGAACAATAAAGGTGAAGGTGGCGGTGAGTGGGTTGGTTGATTAAAAGATGGCAGAAACACATGAAAACTCTTTATATGTGGCCACTGTTTTGTATACTCATATACTATCAGAAAGAATATCACATTTTAAACTTGTGGTTCTATTTATACTTTGATTGTAAAAAGTAATCATTTGTTGGTTATAAATGGAAGCATTTCTTCATTATCAATTTTAGTCAACTATAAACCAGTGGCTAAATGTGGGCTTAAATGTCTTTGAGGCAAATTCTGATTTTGATCAAGGCAGTCAATTCTATACCATTAAATGATAAATAGCTTGATAACTTGCTTATTTTTCTTAGATATTGACATTCAGCTAACTAGATATGAGCTTAAATGGTATTTACCCCATCATATATGGTAAATGTTCTCAACGTAAGATTTCTTAATAAACAAAAGCATTTGTTTGAACATATGTTTTTACAAAGGATATAAAACTAATTGTAATGGTGATATTTATATAACTGAATGAAGTTGATGTAGTAGGTATCCATAAATGTTTAAATGGCCTATTCTCTAATGTTTATTATTCTGCTACAAAATCTAGAAGATTAAAATTTTAAAAAGTAAAGGAAACTACTCCTAGTTCCTTTACGCAAACACAACCACTTTTAATATTCAGCGGTATTTCTTCCCAATATTTATTACATGCCCATTTAAGAATAGTTATAAGCTTGATTTTGGAAGCTTTGCCAGCTCAAATTTGAGGTCTCTTTCATATCTTCAGAAATGTGTAGTTCTTGGTTAAAAATGACATCAGGAAGATCCAGCATGACTTGAATAATGACACTTAGAAAAGTAAAATATGTAATCATATGGGAAGAAAAAAAACCACACCTTTTTCTTCAAGTTAAAACTTTAGGTGTGGTAGAGTAGTAACTAGTACAAATTGTGATATGAAAATATTACAAAATGTTATAGAAGTTAAATTTTTAAGTACTGAAAAGGGTAGCTGCCAAATGAGCATTGCAGAGCCATTTCATTAGTCTTTTTCCCCTCCTGTCTATCAGATATTTGATTCAAGTGACAGCCATGGATTTTCTGGAACTCAGCTACCTCAAAACGCCAATAACTCCAGTGAGGTAAACGTTGCCATAGCTGGCAGCCATCTTGTTTTACACTGATGACACAAATGTTCATTGAAGTGGGTAGCGCTAGTTCACAATTTTTACATGAATCTGTTGAAGATAAATTTAGAATTAAAATGGCCCCTCGTAAGTAGATAAGAGATATTCTTGGAATGCCACATACTTTTGAAGGTATCTAAACTCTTGATAACTCCATCTTAAAAGCGGCATGTCAAAATAGCAACTTTCGTTTATTCTTCCCTATCCCTCAGCAATACTTACCCTCATTTGAGAGTTTAGTGAATTCAGAATTGCATTTCCCCCCATGGTTGTCAGGGATCATCACGCAGATCCGTGCCGTGTGAGCCAGCAGTCTTTGGATCTCCAAGTGCCCTCAGTGGAACCCAGCACAGGGTTCCCTTCTAGCCGCTTATGACTGAACATGGCTGCAGAACCCTTTCTGACTAGAGCTCTGGAGTAGGGCGGAGATTGTCTATTTGGGCTTATGCCTCTTCTTTGTGTCTTTTTTCAAAGCCATGCCTTCCCCTTGAAGCTGTGTTTCATGTTACTGACCTGTTACCCTTTCTTCTTCTTCTTCCTCACCAAATCATTTTTGTCTTGGATTTTATGTCCAACAAACCTCTAAACTATATTATGTTGAGGTTGAAACCTGATTTTTTAATAGGCTCGGGTACACTTAATATGCTTCTGCAGAAGCAGGCAGTATTCATCATAAACTAATTGGGCTAATTAGTGAATTGGGAATTTAGTTAGAAAAAATTGAGTCACGGTGGAGTGTGAGCCACTGTGATAGGTCCGGGGGTGTTGCGTGAGGGACTTTCTGGTGACCCTAAAATATACGACCCAGACAGCCACCTGTTCTGCTTTCACGCGAGGTCGGCCCCGACTGTGGGCCCCGAGCTGCTCAGCGTGTCATGGTCATTGTTGAAACCACTCCCAGGTGGCAGCGGAGATGTCATGAAATGCGGTAGGACACCTCTGCTCAAAACCCCATCCCCTTCACCTCCCATCCTCAGATGGTGGGTTATGAGATGGAGGTACTTGTGCCAGGAGGCTGTGTCACTGGTTCATCCCTGTCTTGTTCTTGGTTCTCTTCTTTTGCTAAATCTGACTAACCGCAATCCAAACCTTCCTGTATACAAATCACACCATCGAAATGGCAGACTTTTCATAATAAAAAATTCCCAAGCCCTGCCCCTTTATGTCTATACACTCTCAGAGCCTATTTCAAAATCCAGATCAAATCACACCGTCCTCCAAGGATTTTACTTGATTTTGTAAAAAATTGTATCATTGTTATTTGCTTGGCTCTTACTCTATATTACTTTTCACTGCTAGTCATCCCAGCAAGTATCTTATGTCGTGTCTCCCAGGCAAGCTTGTAATCAGGACCCTTGCTCAGTATAGTTTATGTAGATTTTATGATTACGTGTATCCTCAATCCACAGCATGCTGCTAAGAACATAGTTTCGCTTAATAAATTTGCTCATCAATTGTTTAAATTAGATGTAGTTCTTTAATGGTTGAGAAGAACTGTGATCTGCATTAAAACCCTGTAATTTTCAGATTGTGTCTCTTCCAACATTAAATAACAACTTAAAATTCTTACTTTGAACATTAAGAAATTGTATTATCAAAGCACTTTCTATTAACAGGACTTATGTTGGGCTTTGAAAATCAATTTTGCTAAAAGAGCCATTAATGGTTAGAATTAATTATTTAAATTGGCTCAAATTACCCAAATATCTTCTGATTTAATTGACAAGTCCCATTGCTGCTATAAGAGGCGAGAAGAAAATATTGTTGCATCTGTGTTTTAAAGCATCCGTATTTCAACAGTCATCTCTATTTATTTTAACAAAGCATTGCTTCTGGCCTAAGGACACTGAAGAAATTCCTTTTGACTTATAGGGTGTTTCAATGGTGTATTTATCATTTCTGAACTGCAGCACGCAGATAACTAGGTTTAAATCGAGTTGCACATAGAATGAAGAGCATTTGTTTTTTTATATCTCTGGGACTTCAAATTCTGCCTGTAGCTGGTTGAATAATTAATATTACATGTCACCTGCTTTCCTCCGCTAATCATTCTTGAGAATATTTATAACTTGCACAAACCATCTATTTGTATACAGACAGTATATTATGTCCATTAGTGTAACACAGAAAAGCAGTCATTCCTGAGCGTTGGGAGAAGGGGGCGGGTCTCGGCATTTTTAAATATTCCGCTCTAATTGGTGCATCATATAACAGTGCGTCACCCTGATCTGAAATCTGTTAAGGTTGGAAGGAAGCCAGTCTTATTTGAGCATTTTCTTGGAGGACACTTGGGCTAGCCCCAAATGAAAGCTTTTCATTGGGATGTCTTGATGAGTAATAATGAGTCTCAGTCAGGATTTGAAGGGAGGCATTTGTTATGGAGATTGTGACAACAAATCCAGCGAGGCTCTGGACAGACAGTTACCCCAGAAGCTTCAGTGCAGGAACTGTGAGGCCCCGGGCCTTGGCTTCCTCTCCTGGAAAATTGGCTGGGGGTGTCCCAACGTGCTGTGGCGGTGAGTGAATGAAGTATTGTTGCATTAGTCATTAGCTCCAAGCTGGAAAAAAACGCTAATGTTGGTTTTTAAAATGGAAAATATGAATGAAACCACTTACTCTTGACTATAACATAGTAGTTTGTTTAAGTAGAATATTAGTTTGGAACCCTCCATCATACACAAACATACATACATACATACATACATACATACATACATACATACATACATACATCGGTCGTTGTTTTCCTGTCATATCAACTGATGTTTGGGCATCAGCCCAAGAAGGAAATAAACATTTTCTCCTCTATGACATTTTCCTGTTGTTAAGAAAACCCGGAGCATGTCAGTTCTTTTGTTTTCTCCTCATCTCACTTGCTAATTGACTCCCCTTTTATCAGCAGCCCTGGTGGTGTGGGCCCATTTGTGACAGCCAGGCTGTGATTTTGCTACTCACTTCCCTTCAGTGATCCAAGTAGTAATTACAAGCCATTTGATCCGAGAGCATCTGCTGTGTGAACCCGCAGAGTTTCAATTTTCTCTCCTGGAGGCACACTGAGCAGAAGTAATGTGACATGGTGCTTTCAGGACCATTAATGTAAGAATAATAATAGATGCTTCTGTGGGTGCTACCGGAAGAGGAGGCCTAAAGCGATTTTTCAGCCTTAACTAGTTAGTTGGCAGAGGTCAGAGCTGCGGGCCAGTGATGATGTTCCCGTTTCATAGATGGCCAGAGCTGGACCACATGGTGACCTGAGCCACCACAGTCCCCAGGATTTTGAGACAAGGGGTCTTTATAGTGGCCATTGCTGTGTCGTAGTGGTTACGCCTACTACAGTATAATGCCACCATCCAGCTTGACCTTCAAAAAAGTCCTTTTACCTGTTATGGCTCTTTACAGTTACGTACCTTCAACTGCCATTTCTCACACCAGCCCCATCCTCCTGTGAGGCTGGCGTTTTTTAGTCCCATTTAAAGGTGGAGAAACCAAAGCCCCAAGACAGGAGATAACCAGTCCCGACAAGGGTGGGATTTGAGCCAGATTGTCTGTTATGTTTTTTCTGTCTCTGTGTGTCTTCTCCTGGAACTGGATACCATGAATGGACTAATGGGAAACTAGCTTTTGGAGGGAGGGAGAGGTAGAGCAGGAGGCAGGCTGGGTTTGCAGTAGCCTGGACAGAGGTCGCCAACCACGAACTTGGGGGCGAGCTGTTAAAAGACTTATTTAACGTAGCACCTTTGAAAAGGGTAAGCTGGGAAGAGAGCTTCCCAGATGGCTCAATCTGTTGTGCTTATTTGCAAGATCTTCTGTTTCTTTTATGAAGAAGAACAGGAGAATATTTTATCTGGCTTATTGAAAATGAAGCGTGTGTATTTTCAGTGGGAGCATTGACCCCTGAGGAAATCAACCCAGTTTTCTGTCCAAATGGGCAAAGTGTACCACAACGTAGGAGAGCTGTGAGCACCAAAAAGCCTTTCTTTTCCTAGTTCAAATGAATCAATTCTACATTCTTGGCGCTTTTTTGGAATAACCAGGTTTTACCTATCTGTAGTTGCATATACGTGTGTGTGTGCGAGTGTGTGTGACTTACATACAGAAACAGTTACGTATACATTTTCATCGAGGGATCTCCTGAGAGGGTCTGAATTTCCTTGGCCTTGGCTTTGGTAGGCATCGTCTCTTCTGCGTTCACGCCACTGTAGGTCCTGTGTAGACTCAGGAAATGATTCCTCAGAGCAGCTGTTGGCACAAAGTCCCGTTGAATTGAATATAACATGAAATTTTTTGCCCTTCCCGTTCCATCTCTGCGTTTCCCCGTGCACTCTGCTCTTGCCCAAGGCTTCTTCCCTAGCAATGATCTGTTCATTTCTCAAACTTTTAGGGAAGATTCAGAAATGGATGCCGTATAAACACATTTGAATAAGATACTGAAAACGGACAGCTTTCACCTTCCAAGCCTACGTAGGACTGTGAATTTCTAGTTGCTTCCAATTCAGCGCCCATGCATTGGGTGTGTTCTGGGTGCAGGCCGGACACACTGTGTGAGGGGCTGAAGGAGGCTGAGAATGAGAGACGAGCCGCTGTTGTCATTCACCTTAGCACCTGGAGGCCTGAGAGCAGCCGGAAAGTGACTGTCACGGTGTGAGCTGGGCTTAGCTAAGTGCTGTCCCAGGGGCAGAGGAGAGTGGACTCACCTGAGTGGAAATGGGGGAGGGGAGTTGGGGGGCAGGAGAGACTTCATAAGGTGGGGGTAGAATTTGAAATAAGGTTGAAGGATGTAAGTAGTTCAGCACTGAAGCCAGGAGAAAGGCAAAGCCGGCAGAGGAAATTGAACCGAACAAGGGTCTGGAGGCAAAGATGCCATGCGTTCGTTTTTGGGGAGCATCAGGTGAGCCATTTTGTTCAACCAGAGCATGGTGTGTGTCATAGGAGAACAGAAAGGAATCAGGAAGGTTAGTTTGCGTCCTTTTGGGGGTCGTCAGGGGCTACTGCCAGACTGATATTTCCATATAGTGCAGTCGTGGTGAGTGCTGGCTCGAGCCGGGTGTCTGGGATTCAAATCCCCACAGTACCACAGTCACAGCAACCTGTGTGAGTTTGGGAAAGGTTCTAGAATTTTTTGAGCCTCATTTTTCTCACCTGTTAAGTAGAAGGTCCTGATAGTGCCTGCCTCAGAGGGCTGTGACTAGTGAGTGAATTGACTGCATGTCAAAAGCTACTTCCTGTGTGAGAGCCTGTATGGTGGACAGCAAGGGGCGGGAACAGAAGGGCAGGGAAGGGCAGCTGTCCATCCTCCCCCACCTGTCCATCCGCAGTCACATTTTTCCTGTTCTGCTCTAACAGTGCAGAATTCAACGGCTTTGCAGCAGGAATCCAATCCGGACTGATTTCCTCTTGGCAGGACTTTGTGTGGTTTCTTACTCCACAGTGACCTCTGCTGGAGTTTTGGGTTGATTCTGAGCGAGTGTGGTCTGAGGGGTGGGGTCTGGGCCTTTCAGGGAGCACCTGCTTGTTGCTGCCTCACCTGCCTCACCTTATTGCTGCCCAGGTGAAAAGAAGTACCTGGGAGGTTGAACCAGAGAAGAAAACGTGACCCTGAGAGATGAGACCCTTCAGGAGAGAGTGGTGTCCCCGCTGGTTCCCTGCGTCCTTGGCTCCAGGCATCTGCTCCTGTCTCTTTTTTTCTTTTCTTTTGGCAAAGGAGGTTCATGTTCATCCTAGGCTGTGGTCACCTGTCCAGGAAAACGTACAGAAAGTGGCACATCCATGACAAATCCAGAAATGTCATTTCAAAGATGAGCACCGCATTTACAAATGACAACACAGAAAGATGGGTCTTCCCTTGCTTTGTCTAGATCTGGTGTTGTTGTTGTTTTTTTTAAATTAATGTATCTATTCTGTTTTTTAAATCCTACATAGAAGGACCTTTTGCTTTTTTTCATTTCATGGAATTTGAAGTGAAATCACCCATCAATGATAACTTTAATGGATGAGTGGGATTTAATACTGTGATTGAATCTGTATGTAATAGTTTCTGCTGTGTAAGGTGTTTTCACATATATGATCTCCTTTGCTCACAAAAATTGGCATTGTTAGTTAATAACCTTCAGTGATTATATTAGTACTATCTGCTTTCACAGAACAGGGCACAGGCTCAGCAAGATCAGTGTCCTGTCCTTGGTCTCTCCTTACTGGTGAAGTCGCAGTTTGTGACTTGAGCATCAGGTCTTTAATTTCAAATCCCCAAATCTTGTCTTTACCACCAGGCTCGTGTAAGAACCTCACCAGAGGAAAACATTTCTGAGGTGCTTAATAAATGTTAATTATTTTTGTTTGTAAATCATAGGCAGACATATTAGCATGAGGTGATTGAATTACTGTGATGATGAAGTATAGGAAACTCAACTTTATTGGAAAAAGCCTATGTTTTGAGATGGTTTCTTAAAGAATATCTAGGTGTGAAATAGCTGGAGAATAGAAACAAACTTACCCCAGGACGAGGGGCTGATTTTCAGAAACAAGTAGAAATAAAAGAGAAGAAAACCATGTTTGGATTAAGTGTGGTTCAGGGTTAGCACGGAGTCAGGTGTCTGTGGCCATGGACAAGAGTGTATCTGAAATTCACTAGGACGGTGGCTTAGATGCAAATTTCACAGTGACCTTACCCACCTCTGGAGCAGTAAGAGTGGATACTAAGCAGTCCTTATATTGACTGCAGTGTTCTAACTTGGGCTGAGAGGCAAAATGGCATGGTAGCTGGAACACCAGACAGGGAATGAATTGATTTCCACTCAGCCTCCCTGGGTGTCAGTGTGACGTGGGATACACGGAGAGGAAACGTCTGCCCCAGAGGATCGTGAGGAGCCAGAGATGGGTGGGGTGTGAAAGTGCTTACCATAAAATCCCCCACAAAGTTAGGGGACAATATTTCAGCAGTTTTTCTTATTTCTTAAATCTGCCTACATTTTCTTTTGGAATCTAAAAACAGGTTGATGAGCTCCTGCACATAAATGGTTCCGCAGTAGATGGCGTTCCCCGAGACAACACGTGGGAAATCCAGGCTTACATTCACTTTCAGGATAATCAAAGCGTTACTGTAACCATCAAGCCAGAACACAGAGTAGAAGATATTTTGACTCTGGCATGCAAGGTAATGGATTTTGATGCAGAAATACAGTTCTGAAGAAAAAGAATCATTAATACTGCTCTCCTGTGCCTTCTAAATCTGTGTGGTATTTGAGACCTCACTTTCTCAACTAGGGGACATATTATTTATTACTTCACATATTTATTACTTAGCCTTCTCCTTGGTCTTTTAGAAGCATGAGTGGTTAGGTCATGACTCTTGCCTTCAGAAAGGACCTGAGCTGTTTTACTGAAATTCTATATACACCTTTATATCCAGAACAATTATGAAGACCGTTGTTACTTAAGTCACTTAGTGATGGTGTCCTAGAAGAAAGAGGCATGGACTTGGAAGTGCTAGTTTGATTTTTCATCCTAAATAGTTTTACCAAGCTTCTCTAGATGAAACAAGTAACTTGACACCATTCACAGTGGCTTCATGAGATGTTTTATCCATTATTCAAATTGGGTTTTATTTCTGAAAATGTTCATGATAAGTCTTAAAGGGAGCCCATGGAGATAGATGAAATAGACTCAGAACCATCAGATCAGATGTCTGTAGACCACCAGATGGCGGAGTGGAGCTGCAATATTTTTAAGTTTTCAGAGAAAATGCAATCAAATAAGAAAGGGTACAAAAAAGGCATGCAGAGTTTGGTAACTCTTTACCATGTACACTTAACAGATGTGGATAACCTTTAACTTTAGTCCTCCTTTGTCACTGATTGAAGCCTTAGTATATATACCAGTCATTTATATATGAAGCTTATATTCTTATCAGTTTAGTTTTCTTTTACTCCATTATGTAAGGTTTTTATTCAGACAGCCAACAATACTGTTTTATAGCAGTGGTGTCAGTCATGAACTTGATAAATTTTCTAGTGATAGAGGAAGTCAGGAGTGGTGGGTCAGTTAGAGCCGGGTGGTGCATAGACCTGAGATAATTTATCACTGTTGAAAGTGAGAGAGAGGAGAGAGGAGAGAAAGCGAGCCCACGAGAGCGAGTGACTGTGCCAGTGCATGCCAGTGCTTGTGTGTAGACGTGTTCGTTTTGAAAAGCTTTTAGAGTAGGAAATTCCTACTTCTGAATCTGCAGAATATGAGATTGTCCCCATTTCACAATTTCTCTACGTTAGTGGGAGACAACTTAAAGTTAGGTACAGCCAGTGTATAAAGAGACAGCATTTGCTGAGATGTATATTATACTACCACAACCTCTTCAAATACATCTGTTGCTTTTAGTGGTAAGCAGTATCGTTTAGAGGGAACCTTCTTAAAAATAGTTATTTTTCCTTTTTTGCATATTTTCATTTGAGCTCTTACATAGGTTTAATCACAGCATCTTACATATGGTATTTCTTTTAGGAATTTCCACTTTGATTTTTAGTGAACGATGATGAATTTAGAAAGAATATTTAAATTCTGAATGACTGTCTTTTCCTTCTAGATGCGGCAGTTGGAACCCAGCCACTATGGCCTACAACTTCGAAAAGTCGTCGATGAAAACATTGAGTACTCTATCCCGGCCCCATCCGAGTACATGCAGGACCAGGCAAGTGTGCGTTATCCCTGGAAACCGAAATCTGAGCCACGTCCACGGCCTCTCAATTTACAAAATATGTAATGTGGTGGGAAACTTCTGTTTAAATTTGGTGTCTAGTTTGGAAACCATCAAAATAACTTTCCAAGATATCACGACCTCAAATCCTCTGATTTTGTGGTGTTTACCTGTTGTAGGTTTATGATGAAATAGAAGTCTTTCCGTTAAATATTTATGACGTGCAGCTCACGAAGACGGGGACTGTGTCTGATTTTGGTAAGCGTGAGGACACCCTTATCCATCCATCCTTGCCTAGTTCTCCACGTATCTTCGGACCTAGTTTTTTGGTTTTTTTTTTCCTTTACATTTACATTTTCAGAAATTGTGACAGTAGTTTCGGAACTGCCTTTTGCTTTCTTCATTTTATTTATTTACATTAGCAGGCTAAAAAGATATGTGTTGATATTAGGGAAAGATGCCAATGTAATTAAAAGGAATAAATATAAAAGTTGAGAAATTTAAAACGATGGTGATATAATAATAACAGTGAATTTACTGTGTGCCAGATGCTATTCTAAACTGATTAACTCATCACTCCTGTGACAGTTCTTTACATCTCAGTGTCTTTGCTCTTAGCTTGATTTTACCCACCTGGAGCACCACCTGCCACTGCTCCCCCATCCCCCCAATCCCCC